TGCCCATATATCATTCATAAAATACTGAGAAATGTGGAAAAAATCATTACTCTAAAATCAATTCCTATGTAACTAACAAGTTGCTTCAAGAGATTGAACTTGCAACTTGACTATTATTTAGGTACTTATCTCACATGCTAAGATTGTGTTTCTCACCAACTCTTCCAATTATTGTTTTAAATTCAATTTTGTTTGTAACAATTTGGTTCAAGGGGTTGAACTTGCAACTTCACTATTATTTAGCAAATACAAGTACAATAATGCTATGTCCATATAAAAAGCATGTGTCCCAAATTCATTATTGATTTTTCTGTGCACATTTCCATGATTTCCTTTTGTGCACATAGCATTGTTGGAACAAGAATCACATCACCTTTCTATCTAACAACTTTATACCTGGCACTTCACCATAGTAAATGAAAAGAATTCAATAGCAGTTCGATAAAATAACACAAGTAAAATACCTCTACTCTCTATCATTACCTTCTACTACTCACTTGACATATAAAGAAAATAAAAAATCTACAAAAATTCTTCAAAATATTACAAGCCAAATCCTAGATTTGATAATCCATCAGTTTAAATCTCCAAAACTCTCATCCAAACATAAATTATTAAAGAAAAGGGTGTTTCATGATCTATGAAGCACGGGTACGGATACGAGTACTGGTATTGGTATGATACGGTACGTCGATACGGTAAATTCAAAAAAAGTAGGGTACGGGTACGGCTTGGTACGTTTGTAAAAAAATATTTATTTTTAATTTATAGTAATGTAAAATTAATTAAATGGTTTAATTTGTTAAGATTTAACCTATAATTAACATTTAATGCCAAAAGTAAATGTATAGATCAAAATTAAATGTCAATATATTTTACAAACCATAGTTTAATTTTAAAAACATGCTAAGTATAAAACTAAAAATAAAAAAGAAGTCTAGTTAAAGGGGTTTTATCTCTATAGTAGAAGAAAATATTATTTCAACTGAAGTACGGTACGGCTTGAGTATATAGTAGGTACGTCTGGGTACGCCAAAAATTAAGAAGAAAAAATTTGGGTACGTATTTCGTGTACCCGGTACGTATGAAGAAGTACCATACGAGGTACCATACGCCGGTAAGTACCCGGTACGGGTACGGCTTGTTTTTCGAAGTACCCATGCTTCATAGTTCATGATCAAATGTAGTTCAACATCAGATTGTATAGGACTGTATTTTTGAATGCTCAGAAAACTGCACTTACTTGAAAGGAATTTAAGTGATCAAACTATGAACATTTGATAAACTGTCTTAGTTTGGTCATAGTTTGTAATTGTAAATATTAAATTTACGGAAATCACATTTTGTTTGGTTTAGAGTTTTCAAAGATCTTTAAAAAAATCATGTGACTACATTAAGTTTAATGACTAAATTATTCTTTTCTTGTGGATGGTTCAGATTGAAAACAAATCAAAACATTAACGTTTAAATTGACAAAATTAAGGGGTCAAACCATGATTTTATTTATTTATTTATTTTTTTGTAATTTTCCCATAATTCATTGAATATAATAAAATACAAAAATGTAGTGAACTTTTTTTTTTTTTTTTTTTTTTTTTTTATAGATTTTTTTGTATTCAATCAATTGTTGAAAGATTTTTGTACAAATTTCATATTTTTAGTGTATCTAAATCAAGTGAATCTAAAAACAAAACAACAAATTATGAAAATATTAAAAAAAAAAAACAGAATTTAAAAATAAAAAAACTATTTTTAAAACTCCAAACCAAACAAAACAAAGTGTTACTCTTCTCTCCAAACCAAACCAAAAATATAAAGTTTGTTTAACAAAAAAAAAAAAAAACAGAGACTAAACATAAACACACATCCAAGAGCAAATTAACCTTTTCAATTATCTATTTTGTTTCAATAATAATCAATGAAATGAAAATAAAACTAAAACCAACAGACTCCATTTAGCAGACTTCAAATGCTGAGCTAAAATATTTTCAGGCAATACAAATCTTGCATAACGAACACAGATTGATAAAACCACGTTACATAAATGTGAATCATTAGCGAACTAATAGATCTAATTATTAACTTAATCACAAAGCAATTTGGCCGACTTATGATTGAAGAACTAGATCTAAAACCAGCATACATCAACTATAAATCGATTAAAATTTAACTAATTTGAAGAAGTAAAAACAAGAGAATGAAGAGTAAATGATCTGAATTAGATGCGTACCTGTGTAGAGATTGAGAAAAAGAAAATGAGACAGAGAAAGAGAGATCTGAGAATGAAGAAGAGAGAGATATAGAAGAGAATAGCGAGACGTAGATTTACGGTTGAGAATGTGTATATATACAGACCCGATACCTTGGCGTCGTCTGACTCGCTCTCTCGTCTCTCTCTCTCTCTCCCCTTCAGTGAACGAGAGAAGGAGAGAGAGCAACTGCCAACGTTCCATCCCTCGTGGGGCCCACCTCACACCATCTACGCAGTATAACACGGGGATCCAGTTCTGGCATCCAAGATAATTTATGATGGTGGATAATTTATACTTCCTCTGTCTCAAAATATTAATTTTTTATTTTATTTTTTATTATTTTAAAATATTAATCTCTTTTTAAAAATTAAATATAAAAATAATATAAATTTTTTATTTTATTTTTTTAAAATTAATAAATAATATAAAAAGTATAATTATGACGTTAATATTTTCAAAAAATGTACTATCAAAACGGTAATTTTGGAAAGGGTCTGGCTTTGGTCTAGTCCACCATCGGACTGGACCGTACTGTTAGGCCCGTGGGGGCCCACCACGGGTCCTGTTTTGAAAATCTAAACCGTTCAATGTGTAGAACTCTTCGAGTACTACATGTCTGTAAAAAATCACGTTGATCGGATATCGATGGCTATGTGATCAAATCAGTTTTTTGTCAACCGTTAATTTGAGTGTTATATCTCCATAAGCAATCAATATGTAAAACTTGTTGAGTGTTATATCTCCGTAAACAATCACGTTGATCAGATATTGATAGCTGTTTGATCGGAGTAGATTTGTATAAAAAAATGAACATGAAAAAATAAATGATTGACAGAAATCTGATTCGATCAAATAACTATTGATATCCGATTAATGTGGTTTTTTACAAGAATATACTACTCGATGAGTTCTATACATGTAACAGTTCGAATTATCGAAATGAGACAAAAAAATGGGCCTATGGCCCGAATTGGGCAGTCTAATCTTGATCTCAAACATAAGACAAGCTTGACCCATCAAGTTATTTGTGTGAAGAACACCAATAAATTTCATATTCCCAATTTGTCTTCTTTTTTTTTTCTTTTTTTCAAATTATCATCTCAATTTAAGAGAACGTTTAGACTTAATAGACTTATTTTGAAATTGATTTTGGTGATTTGAACCATTTACTTTTTAGATTCGTTGAGTAAAATATTCATATAAAAAATTAAGATGATTCGATATCGATAGTTATATGTTTGAATTATATTTATTTTAAAAATATGTACAACAAATATAATTTCAAGAATAGTCATCTATTTTTTTAAAATACAAATTTGATTCAAACATATAGTTATCAATATCTAATCATATTAATTTTTTATATGAATATTCTACTTAACGATTCTTAAAATATGAATTGTTCGAATTATCAAAACAAAATATGTGATATGCTCTATAGGCTCCTCAAATTTTCTCATATTGAAATGTGAACAAGTGAGAAACTTAACCTCCCATTTTATACACCAATTAGTCCTTTCCAAATTATAATGAACCCGTGAAGGCCCTTGTGGCATTTTGGTAAGTAATTGCGCCACAATGAGGAAAGATCGAGAGTTTGAACTAATGGACCAGCAATGATCCCTTTAAGTGATACATTTTTGTACATTTGTTTTACTAACAAATCTAACTTCTTATCGAATGGGAAATGACTTTATTAACCTATATTTTGTATGCTTCCTCAGTCATTGATAGGGGTAAATTAGGGAAGCTTTTACTAACAAATCTAACTTTCCACCTAATGGCAAATGACTTTACTAACCCATATATATTAAGAGGTTTTATAATTATTTTTGGTATGATTGAAGAATCCTACATAACCAGCATTTCCAAAATAAGAAGATCTCACATATCATAATGCTTCCGCATCATGAGAAGTGATTTTGCAAGTTGTGAAATTGATTAGATTTGATTTTTATCTAAAGTGTACTAAGAGGTTTTATAATTGTTTTTAGTGTAAGTAGAGAATCCTACATTATTAGTCTTTCCAATAAAGAAGATCCCACGTATCAGAATCATCCCACATTATGAGATATGGTTTTGCAGGATGTGAAATTTATGGTATGTGGTTTTGCTGGATGTGAAATTTTGTAAAACTCTATAAAATTATGAGATGTGATTTTCCAGGATGTGATATTTATAAGATCCTTCAATGTATATATTTACATCTGTTTATCATCCAATGGGAATCGCATCCTAAATCAAACATGTGATTATCTCCATGGCATCCCACAAAATAATATCTTTGTCCTCAACATTTCTTCTACAATAAAACAATCAATTCAAATTTATGTGAAACAAGGCTATAAACGAAAAAATCTACTCAAGAATGTATATTTACCAAAATTAATGGGACTAATCAGTTCAGAAAAAATAAAAAAGGATTAATTGGATCACAATTCCTCCTAAAGAGATTTACGGGTAAATTTTTCTCTATTTATTTATTTTTTATTTTTTTGATTTATAATCGTTAATTTGTATATTGAGAGTATGATTTTTAATCAAAAAATCATTATAAATTATCATATCACTCGTTTTATTTTTTTACACGTCTTTTCGTAATTACTTACCATTTACTATTATTATTGTTTATTTATTTTTTTTAGGGTAATGGTAGGGACACCAAATTTTCTACCAAACAAATGACCAAATGTCTCACATGGGTGTGGGGTCCGCAACTTTTCGTAATTACTTACCATTTACTATTATTATTGTTTATTTTTTTTTTTTTTACGATGTCCTCCATCTCCCACGAGTACTTGTGGAAGATGAAACGACTTTTGTTTTCGTGGAAGATTCTCGGAGCAGAGAGGGTGTCGTGAGGCCACCAGGACTTTTGGATTAGATTGTTCAACGATTTTTTTTAAAAAATAATATTTGTTTTTAAAAAAATATACAGCAATTTCGTTCATCATTTTGAAATATATATATATATATATATATTAGTATACATGTGTCTAAAGGTATGGTGTAAATAATATTAAGATTAAAATATAATTATAAAAATATATTTAACAGATTGTACTCTACAATTTCAAACAAATCAAATATAAAAAAAATTAAATATCAAATAATGCACACCAGCCAGTGCTCTGCAATTTAAAAGAAATTAAAATTAAAATGCATACTAAATTATAACTACATAAGAAAAGCAAACATTATGTTGTCATACACCAAAAGAGTAGGTTAAAACTTTATAAAAAAAAAAAAAAATGGATTAAAGCTTTCAAGAATATGTATGCTTTACAGTGTCAATAACATGTCTTCAAACATTTGTTTGCCCAAACTTCCTTCTCATTACTTTTGAAAAAGTCTTTGTATCAACTTGTATGTGTCCCCAGTGAAGAACATGCACAACAATCTAGTAATTTGTGAAAAAAAAAAAAAACTATATATATAGATTGGTATATTTGTTGAAAATATACATAACAAAATATTTTGAGATTAAAATTACCTTATTGTATCCCCATCGAAGCAAACTAGTTATATTTCTCCTTTTAAGCTCCATAAATTTTTCGATCCAATCCTAAAAAAATTTATATTTTCAATTATTATTAAATTAAAATTTTATAAAAAAAAGATATATAATCAACAGAAATAAATCTACATGGTTACCTTTTGATAAAACGTGATTTAATGAACATGGAACACTACAACAACACTTCAGGATAAATAATATTTATAGTAGAATCCAAACTATCTTTAGGAAAGAGAATACTTATATGATCAAAGGATGTACATCTGGACAATGCCACATGTAATTGGCCATGGCTAAACACTGGTATGCACAAATCACCCCAACAAATTTCACAAATTTTCCTTGAGATTTATTAATGGTCAAGGCATATGCTAATCAGACTGGATATTGACGTCTTGTCATTTGAAAAGGCATTTCTGAAGAAGATGGTGCCAAAGATATCCTTGGTATGAATGCCAAATTGTCAAACTTTTCTCCAGTTAAAATTTGAGCTTCAATTATGCCAGTGTCGCACCTAGTAATCATTAATCTTGTACCATTGCATAGTCCATCTTTCGGTGCAATATTTCTAAACAATATTATATGACAATCCACTTTCAACTCTAACTTAAAAGTTGGTAGCCTAGGAGGATCCAATGAATTTAAATATTCATTAGGATATCTATTTGTAATGCTAGGATCAATTTCATTATCTTCAGACATTTTATCTGCTGCAAAATAAGTATATAATTGCCCTAGAAAGATATTCAACGCAGTAGTATTAATGTCACTGACATCATCGTTATGCGCATATAGCATGGTGCGTTTAGTTAAAAATGTTGGGGTCAACGTGTCTATCATATTCAACTCTGGGTAAACTGTAGAGAGTAATTCATTCAAATATTGACATTTGTGTATTGTTGATGGAAGGTTGATAATTTCTTGAGGATTAGTCCCAATCTAAAAAAAGTGAAATGAATTAAAAAAAAATATGAGTGTAAACACAATTTATTAATTTAAAATAATCTATATAATAAAGAAAAAGATTAAAGTAGTGTCATCTCCATCAAGAAATTTGTAAAAATAACATTTTCATGGTCACCATGATTCAAGTGCATATTCAATCCAAAGTTAAGATATGTATATGCTTCCATATAACAGAGTGTTTTAATGATGCATTCACAATTTGCTCACGAACTCCTTTGGGTATAACTGGTAAGATTTGTCGAAAGTCTCCACCAAGAACAACAGTAATACCCCCAAATGGCTTTTCACTATCACGAATATCCCTTAATGTACGATCAACCGCCTCAACACAATATATATGTTGCATAAGAACTTCATCCCAAATTATGAGTTTTGTTTCTCTAAACAACTGAGCTTGTAATGATTGTTTGGTAAACCTACAAAGTGAATTTTCCAAGGCATCTAACGGAATGAAAAATGTTGAATGTGTAGTGCGACCTCCTACCAATAACAATGATGCAATTCTAGATAAAGCCACAATAACAATGATATGCCCAAGGCAGTGACATTTTAATGCAATCGTATTGTACATAAATATTTTCCTTGTTCCAACACCCCTATTCAGAAAGAAAACAGTTCTTTTATTTTGAAAAATTGAAGAAGTAATTGTGTTATAAGCATTCCGCTGTCCATTGTTGAGACAATCAATAGTAATTTGTGGATCTACCTGTTGTGCCTCATTCTGCAGCTGTTGATGTTCGAATATCAATTGATTACCAACTACTG